GGGCTCCAAGAAATGCCGCACCGAATCGGAGTAATAGTGGTTCGAAGTGTAGGTTCAAGAACGTAATATCGAGGAAAAGCTACATTAAAATTATTACCAACCGTGTTATAAGGGGCACAAAATTGCTTAGTTAGAATGCGATTTTACTTACTCCGAAGGGCACACACAAAGGAACCAAACTTCTCGCAACTTATTATTAAGAATATTAGTGAGGGTGAAAAACACTTTTTTCACACCTCTTCTTCTTCTTCTTTTTACTTTTTTTTTGTTATTTACAGTAGTGCGGGCGCGACGTCAAAATTTCAGAATTCGAACCTTCAACCTGACACGGCAAAAATCAATTCGCCAAAAATTTTGCCGTCCCGCTTTGAGTGGCGAAAAAGGTCTGAAACCCATTCCAAGGTTGCAAAATTAACTTGAAAATTTGACTTTTCCAGGAATGATAGTTCAAAGTTAGTCCAACATTTGACTGGATATTACTGCAGTCACAAGGAAAATCAGTGCATTTTACAGTTTAGAAAGTCCATCAGTTTCCCGGTAAAAAATAAATTTGAGAATGGCAATTTCGCAACTTTGAAATGTAGTTACGGTCTTTCGTAATGGGAACGACGATAAGTATAAAATAACACGATCCTTATGAGACTAACATAGAAGAAATATTTCCGATCTTCAATGAGTCCTAAAATACACAAGGATAATGGCACCTGGAAGATTATCTAAAAAGGGACACTCAAGGGACCACAACGAACATCTTAGCAGCAAAATATATATTTATATATACTTTAAAGCGTTGGATTATGTATTTGTAATATTCATTATACATTTTTGAAGTCGCCATCGAATAATCAAGCTGTAAATCTCTCTTTCTAGGTTCTCACCTGAATGAATCGTAACCAAAATCGCAGCTGCCAATTGTCAGCCACACGGAATTTATTGGTTTGCCCGCGGTTGTGGAATAATTTACGGTCTATATCATCGAGCAAATTCAGGCAATCTGAGACAAAATTTAGGCACAACTCCGAAAAACCAACTCGACAATTAGCAGGAAAACATTTTGAAATCCACGTTTTGAATTAAATCAGTCTAAAGGGTTGCAACTATAGCCTCACTTACGACTACGCCATTAGCATAATGAGCGAGGGCAGTTGGTCCGGAGGCGTGGGGGATTGGAATTTTAAATCACTTAGACCGACAAACAACAGCATTAAACACTCAGAGCTTATAGGAATAGATGGGAATACTTAGGCTTCTCTATCGATAAAGCATCCGAAATAATCGACGATAATTGAACCGCGTTAAACAGAAAGGAACCAAGCCACATCAGCTATTGCCCAATTTAACAGAGGAATTTGATTTTTTACGAGAGAACGTTTGTGCGGATTCTTTTGAAAATTTTAAGGAATTTGCTTTGTATTATGAAGAAAATTCATAGAAATTTGCACAAAAATCCGCTTCACCGTTTTCATGTGAAAAATTAAATTGTCCGATTAAATTTAGCAATAGCTGATGTGGCTTGGTTCCTTTCTGTTTAACGCGGTCCAATTATTGTGCCGGGCTAAATAAAAACCCCATATGGGCATTAGAACGATTCTCAAATTCCCCATGATAAAATATTTATACTGGAGAAAAGAAATGGATATTTTGTGTGGAATTAGCAGGTACTTCATTTGATTAAATTTTGAATAAAGTTAAAAAAAAAGTGCGTAATACTGCTGGAAAAAATATTTTTTAATCCGCAGAGATTCAACGAAGTTCGAGTGTTCATACAGCGTTTTCCCTTATCATTACAGAAAAGATTGCTCCGTTGACGTAAGAGCGTACCCTCGATTTCCACTAACTTGAGCCGTGATCTCCGTATAACTCTATGCTTTCCGTGGCTAATGTGGAAATTGAAATACGCCTTTACGTTGGAGGAGCGTTGATAGTTCTTTAATATCTTCATTGCTATGTTTTTAGAGGGGAGTTTTTTCCTTGTCTCGAGCAACTCGTTATCTCCCTCAACTGTTGCCAATTTCCGTCCTATGTTTCAATTTTGCAAAAATAAAATTATAAAAAAATATTCCTCGCAGTTTGATACGTTAGTTAATTCGATTGATCTCCCATTCCTACAGAAGATTTCATGAAATGACACCCCACGCCACGCTCCCACGCCACTGCTAACAGTGTGAATTCAACTTGAGGTGTCATTTAGGACGAGGGGTGCGAATCGTCGCCCTTCTCATACTAAATTTGATATTTTCCTGAGGGATTGTGGTCTATTTGAGAACATTTCACAAACATGTTTGAAGTTTGGTCCCCAAAGCAAATTTTACTCTCTTCCGATTATTTTCACCCCGCACCCGCTTCAGCGGGTCTTTGGTTGAAAAGAGATATGATTGATGCTCCACAGTCCGTGACAAGATACAATAATATAAAACAAATTACACAGATGGTAACAAGGCTAATTTTCACGTAAATACTACCAAAACGTTTCTGCTAAAAACTCAGCCTTCCTCAGTTGGATAAAACAGCAAAAAAAGTGTAAAAATCTAAAATTCTTTGGTTAAAGTTACGCTGCTGATTCCGTCCCAAGTATTTTTTCAAATAGGTTTCTCCATTTCCGATGATTTTCAGAATTGATGCGGCGGGAAAATCTGTAAAGAAAAAAAAAAAACTACCGAATGTGGTATGAAAAATCTCTCACATCCATACACATTCCACTGCTTTGACTTAAAAAAGCTAATATCCGAGAGAATTTTCATTCCTGTGTTTCGCCCCTTTTTCATGCTGTCTCGCTAAAAGCTTATCTCCTCCTTTGGCAGATTTTTGCAGTTCTACTTCAATCCCAAGATTTACGAGTTCGGCAAATCTACTCCCATCCTCCGTAATTCTCTTACCCTCTCCTCAACACTTCTAAATTCATCAACGCCGCCGCTCTAGCGAATAAAATTCAGATTAAAAACTATACAACCATGGTTCAGCCATGTAATTCTGCGTTAAAAATGTTGCCGTCATCGCACACTCGCACAGTTTCCATTCAGTTTGTTGAAAAATCGTGCAATATTCCATTTCACGCTATAAATGACACACAGAAAACTGAGCAATACAATGCCTTGAAACCTTCCATAAGCGTCCCCTAGATTACAAAGAAAACAAAAAAGTATCAGGCCACAGGAATGCCCAAATGCCTGTCTTACTTAGGTTCCAGTAAAAAAAATATTTATAAAATTTGAGAGGCAATCATGCGAAGTTTGATGCAGTAGGGTTGCTGATTCTGCTGAGGGGCTGTTAAGTATTACGTAAGCCACTTGGGGCGGGTGAGGGGGGTCTGTGCTTCGCTTGCTAGGTAAAACTAGGAGGAGAGGGGGATTTAGATTCAGTCTTCCTTGGGTCTCCAACTTAAAAAAAAAATTTTAGTGTCCAATAAACTCAAATCTTTTCAGCTATGTTTCTGACTCTCTGTTACTTTCTGAAAAATTCGAGGAAGGCGGGCTTTAGGTCAGAATTCAAAAAGAAGACGAGAGATTGGCTTACGGATGGCTTACAGGTGGGTAAAGAGGGGAGGGGGGATCAAAAAGTTCATCTAAATGGCTAACGTAATTCTTGAACTTGAAGACTTTAAAATAGCTTTTTGTTGCCTGCTTTGTCGATCGAGGTCATTCGACATAGAAGCGATAAAGTTTTAATAATCTAATCGCAATACAAATGAGCGAGTCAACGCCTTGATAGTACACAGGTGTAAACACAACATACGTTATAGTTTTTGAGACAATATCTTTTGTTGTCCTAGAGGCGTCGGTATTTTAGAAAACGCTGGAAAAAAACACATTGGATCTAGAGTCCAGACTCTTAAAAACATCGACAAGAAAAAATACTCTTGATTCAATCGAATTTTTGCTTAAATCAAGAACCAAGCCTCTTAATTTGAGCGGATTTCCTTTTGATCTAAGCAAAAATCCGATTGAATCAAGAGTATTTTTTCTTGTCGATGTTTTTAAGAGTCTGGACGCTAGATCCAATGTGTTTTTTTTCCAGTGAACGATGCGTGAATGCCCATAAGAGCCGATCACGAATGATTTCACATTTGGAAAAAGTACCGCTTCGTAACCCCCTCAATTTCATGTTTGAGTGAAACTGCAGAAAGAACCGACAATTTGAGCTTGATTACGAGTTTGAGAATATCCTCGGTTTCTAAATTGAACAATCGTGGAAGAGATAAGACAAAATAACCTAATCTGCTATGATAAATTTAAATGCGTTTAAAAACGCGGAATGCCGCCTGATGCCATTGCAAAGCGGTGCATTTCCCAACTTGCAATTTTATTTTCCTCCAATTTTCCATAATAGGAAAACATCTTGAAAATACTGCGAACTTAACTCGATATGCACATTTTTCCCGTGCAGTTTCTCCGCGGTAAACGATCTTTAAATGTCACCACCGTGATACATCAGTTCAGACACAACCGTCCCCCTGGAGCCTCCTTTCCTACATCGCGACTAGTTTCGCGGGATAAATTGAATTCCCGTGCCAGCCGTTATCAGCGTCTAGCCGCCTCCCCCCCCCCCCCCNCTCTTGCATTCCCCCCTCCCCCCTACGGAGCGGCGAAAATGCGAACTGCAAACTGCAGACGTCTCTTGCTCCCCCGTGCTATTTGCAATTGGCTAGACAAGCGTCTGGATTCGGTTGGCCACGAGCCCGTGAGTCCCTGGTCGATGATCTGCCGAGCCTTCTTGAAACCAGTTTACTGTCGCTTTCAGCTCCCGGCGCGTCTCTCCTCCTCTTTCCATCCATTTGATCAGTTTTCCAAGTTCAGGATCAAGGCCCGAGTCTACTCAATTACAAAACGCGTTTAAAAATCTAATCAGTGCTTCGTCGTACAGGTACAGATACTCTGTTTAGCGTCGAGTTTGCTTGGTGTGTGCCTCTGTGCGAGAGTGTGTGAAGTTGTGTTCAAATTCTAGGACTACGCATTTAACGACAGTGAGTTAGGCAGATGAGGAGATGCGCATCAGATTTTTTCCCCATTTTGTTTTTCTCTATTTTTTTCTGTTGGTTTGTTTTGGCGTGATAACCCTATGAATATGCTGCCATGTTAAGAAAGAGGGTCGTATGAGACTTCACTATTGATTCAACAATGGAAAATTTTTTTTAAATTATTTCAAAAGAATTAAAGATTAAAGTTTCAAACTGATTCATTGTGGTGGTGCAGGGTAGTAAGAATTGGACCTGATCCAAGCACATTTTGCTCCGAGCTCCCCCTCCCCCCAATCCCAAAACTGAAACGGTGAAAATGCAACTCAAGATGGGAGTTTTGTCGGTTTTAAATGATTTGCACTGCGAGAGCAGGCCTGTCTTGTAAAGTAACTTACTATTTTTTAATTTCTCGCTCCCCTCGCGGGTAGAGGAAGTGTTTCTATCGTCTCAAAAAAAAAAAAAAAAATCTATCAATTCTAGACTTTTTAAGGTCCCTAGAGTCAAAAAAACCACACTTGAAAAAATGTACGTCCGTCCGTCAGGCGTAGGTACACTTTCTCTATGTACAACCATAGCTCAAAATCTATATTTGTTCAACTTCATTCGCCATTTGCATGGAGGACCATATCTGTGGTCTACTTATGCACGTTAAGTGATTTTTTTATTTTGGCTATGCTTCCCTGGGTCAGGGGTGGCATCGCCAAGAGGAAGGGTCCAGGAGATCAGGAACCCGGAACCCCCCTTCAAACTGGATCACCCCAGTTAAAATTGGCGGTAGGATATTCTGTGTTCCAAAATACTATAGACCTGCAGCCGGCTGTAAGATTTCCTATAGCCGGCTAAACAATTTCTTACAGCCTTTTGTAGCCGATGGCGATAAAGCTATGAAGCCAGGCGATAAACTGCATAGCCCGGCGATAGGAACATCCGGCTGCATAATTTTTAATACATATGTAGTTTCGTGTAGCCCGGCGGTATTATTTTCTTCGCTTTCTACAGCCATCTATATGATTTTCTAGCGGCTATAAGAATTCCTATGGTATCTCGAAACGCAGCTTCTGTTGCTAATTATGACCGGGGCATTTCCCAAAAACCGTCACTTTTCGTGATTTTTTAGGCTCTTTAAATCTTCGGACTCCTTCCCCCTCATGCGCAATTGATCGCAGATCCCCCCTTCTCCCATGAAAATGTTTTGGTTACTGGTTACGACTTTGGTTATTGGTTGCCATAATTTTTTCATCTTTAAAATCCCTGACTTTCCCTGCCTATCCCTGACCTTCCGAAAACATTTCCACATCCAGTTTTTTAAAAGTACGCTGACTTGCGCTAAACTTTGGACAAAAAATCCTTGTTTAGAGATCAAATTATGGAGAAGGGCATTCAGTGGGTGGTTAAAAGATGACACGCCTAAAGGATGACCAGGAAGGGTAAACAGTTGGAGGATCAGTGATACATTTTATTGACTAGTAAATGTGTCAGAAATTCCCTGACGTTTCCCGGTCGTCGCGAATGAGTCAGTTGCGCTGATCTCAGAATCGTGTTTTAATGCTTGATTCTTGTATAGATTAGCTAAAAATAATAAGATCTGTCCAAAACGAAACTTTCTGCGTTCAATACTAACCGAGATATCGCCCTTTGAAAAGTCGGGTTTTTGACGTAATCCACTGCGGTAGTAACACCCTTGGATTCTCCCACCTTGTTTTCATCCAAGTTTCACGTCGAGTAACCAGTGCAAATGTGCGTCACACTGACTGATGAAGGCAAGGTGGCAGAAACCACGGGTGTCACTACGGCGGTGGATGCCGTCAAAACCCGACTTTTCAAGGGGCGATATCTCCTTTAATATTGAACGTAGAAAGTTGCGTTTTGGACAGTTATTACTTTTAGCTAATCTAGAAGAATCAGGCATCAAAACACGATTCTGTGACCAGCGCAACTGACCCATTCCCTGACTTTCCCTGATTTTCCAAGTTTTCCAGACCGCCGGCAACTATGTGATACACCACTGCTGCCGTGCTAAGGAAGAACGCCGTAGGAACATTGGAGAGTTGCCAAATTTCCTTCGATAAAATGTTTATTTTTTAGGAAAGTTATGAATATTTTCTCTTGAAATTTGCAGGACTTTCCGGTGGAATTGCGAGCAAAATTATCTGAAAAATTGGAAGAAAAATATTCATAAGTTTACCAGGGGATTCGTGTTTTATCAAAGGAACTTTGGCAACGCCTGGAGGTTCATAAGGCGTTTTTCCTTGGCATGGCAGACTAGGTCAGGAACACTAACTCCCTCTTCTTTCTGTGTCTGGACTTTCTAGCCTTTAATTTCAACGACAACCTCAGACTTTGATCTCGATCCTGGAAAATGATCGAGTGGCTGCAGACAGAAGTGTTCCCCGCGGCCGTGGAGTCTGGTTCCTTCGGGGCGGGCGCCAAGTTCCTCGGCTACGAACCCAGCGGGCAGCAGGACTCTGACATCTCGGACATCTTCTTCGGGACGGTGAACGTGGAACTACCGGACGGCGGGCAGCTCTCGGAGCGCGTCTACGTCAAGGTCCAGACGAAGGAGACCAAGTTCTACCACCTGTCCCACAACATCGATGCTCACTTCCATAACGAGGTGCTCTTCTACACGGAGCTCCTCCCTCTCCTCCGGAAGTACGATACCGAGAACTTCTTGGCGGGCAGCATCCCGGAGTTCGTCTACGGTCGCGCCACCCTCGGCGCAGCCCCCGACCAAGATGTCATCGTCCAGAAGGACCTCTCGCTTAAGGGCTTTCGCATGACCAAGGAAAAACTCTTCCTCGACGAAAAACACATTCGGCTCACCGTCGACCGTCTTGCCAAGTTCCACGCGCTCGCTATCATGTGCCAGCACGAGAATCCCGAGGCGTTCAACGAGGTTCGTCCTAATTTTAATTGATCGATGAGTCGGTTACACAGGTCACAGAATCATGTTTTGATTGTTTAAGCTTATACATACTAAGCAAACAACCTTTAGCGGTTTTAACTCTCTCGCATCGAAGTATTAAAAATTTCGAGATGTGCAAACATATCTTCGGAAAAACTACTCAAAATTTTCAGCCGCAGAAACTAGCTAGCATATAGATTTTTCGTTCTTGTCCGACCAGTTACACGGACTCGATTATTTATAACGTGCCCTTAACTTTCTCGGATCAATTTTTTGAAATTTCAAGAGGCGCAAAAATATCCTTGGAAAGACTGATCGAAATTCCGAGCTTCAAATTCTCAGCCATGGAAACTGGCATGATGGGAGCATGGAGTTTCTACTTTTCCGACCAGTAGCATTGACTCTATTATTTACAGCGCGTTTTTACCTTTATTGGATAGAATTTTAAAAAATTTCCGGACGTGCGAAAATATCCTTAGAAAAACAAATCAAAATTCCGAGCGCCAGATTTTCGGCGGGGAAACTGGTATATAAGAGCCTGGGGTTTTCGTTCTTTCTCGACTAGATGCATCGACTCCAGTGTCTGTAGCGCATTTTTATCTCTGGAATCGAAATTTATAACATTTCCAAAGGCCCGAAGGTATTCTTGTTGAAAAACTAGATTTGACCGAAAGATTTTCAAGGCTGCTTTTACGAAAAAAATTGATTGAAATGAGATTGCAAACTTAACAGAAATGTCGTACTTTCACGAAATCCTTTGCATTTTATGAAGGGGCACGGTAAACGCAGCCCCCCCCCCCTTCCTCCAGTTTTGCCCACTGCTTCACTCGACTTTTGACAGCGTATTCTAATCGACCATTGTTTCCCTGTCCAGGTAGTTTCGAAGATCAAGGCGACGAATCTGCACGGTCCATCGGACGGCCCTAAGCAGAAGGACCCGTTCGACCAGATCAAGTTCCGCGGGATCGACCCTCTGAAGGAGGACCCGGAATACAGTGAGCGGCTGACGGAGATTTCCCGCCACTGCGAGTGGGGGGCATCCTGGCTCAAGAAGTACATGGGTCCCAGCGACGCCATCAACACTCTCACCCACGGGGATCTCACCCGTCATAACCTCATGTTCCGATACGACGACCAAGGAGAACCCGTGGAAGTGGTCCTATGCGATTGGGCTTGCATCAGGTATGCATTTTTACTTTCTCGCTACCCTAGGGTAGAGAAAGTATTGTCATCCTGCAAGGGGAAAAAAAGTTGAAATTTCATCATTTCTAGACGTTTTAAGGTCCCAGGAGTCAAAATAACCATACTTGAAAAAATGTGTGTGTGTCCGTCCGTCCGGCGACCCCCAAATCTGTCTACAGCGATATCCCAGAATCTATCTGTTAGATTTCATTCAAAATTTTTTATTCGTGTCGTCACCTTCCGGCCGAAGTATCGCAAGCGCCATGCGACGTTTGAAAATTTCCGTTGTTCGAAACATCAAACTTATCCGAAAAAGCATACATATGCGATTTAAAAATTTTCCCGGACATTTCCAGGTTTTCCCTGACTTAGCAAAATTCCCTGACAATTCCTGGTTTTTCCCGTATTCCCTGACTGTGGAAACTCTGACGACTGCAATAACAAAGTGAATGGTATTCTAATCTTTCTTACAGGTATTGCACGCCTGTGAGTGACTTAAGCCTGTTCCTGATCTTGGACACTTCTCCGGAGCTGAAGCGGTCTCACTGGGATATATTCCTGAGCGAATACTACAGCGCTCTCTCGCGGGTGCTGGACGGGCACGCGTCGAAGCCTTCGTTCGAGGATTTGCAGCTGGAGATGCGAAAGAAAGGCGTCTACGGGTACCACTGGGCCGTCTACATGCTCCCGGCTGGCTTCGAGACGGAGCTCAACCACAAGATGGAAAATACCCCCCTGACGGAGCTCTTCCAGCTCCTCAGCGAAGCCGGCGGACCCAAAGCCACCGAATACCTTACCGATATCGTCAAGTTCATGTTGGATCACGAGTTCATATTCGAAGTCGATGAATGACACTGAAGAAAGCTTAAAATTTTGCTGTATACGAGGCTTTAACAAATAATTTAGCGGGCCAAGGAGGCTGTCCTGGGGATGAAAGTTTCCCGAAAAAGTCAAACACCAGGAACGGTGACGCTCTAATACTGCCGTTATATAAAGAAACGCCGTATGAACATTGAGTTGCCGAATTTCCTCCGATGAAATGTTTCTTTTTTAAGAGAGTTATGAATATTTCCTCTCGAAAGGAAAATGTAGATCTAATTGCGAAGAAAATTCTCCGAAAAAACTGAGCGGAAAATATTCATGAGTTTTCATGAAAATTCGTATTTAATTCAAGGCAATTTGGCAACTGACGAAGGTTTAAACACGGCATTTCTTCTTAAAACGGCAGAATAGCTCTCCGGCTCTGCAAATTTCTTTTCTTGATGCGCTGGAAAAAAAAAAACACATTGGATCTAGAGTCCAGATTCTTGAAAACATTGACAAGAAAAAGGACTCTTGATTCAATCAGATTTAAGCTTAAATCAAAAGGAAATCCGCGCAAATTAAGAGGCTTGGTTTTTGATTTAAGCTTAAATCTGATTGAATCAAGAGTATTTTTTCTTGTCGATGTTTTTATTTAAGAGTCTGGACTCTAGATCCTATGTATTTTTTTATCCAGTGTGGCCTGGTCCAATCTTCCACCCTGGGTTCGAAATACTCCTAGTCCTAGATAAATGCAAAAGTCGCAGATTACAATGTTTCGCTCATCTTCTAATTCTACGTCTATTTCTAAAGTCTTCCAGATACTTAAAGGGGAAAAAAAAAAAATGCTGACAGCCCACACTGATGTTTGTGTTTTTCCAATAAAACCGGGTTTAACATGCGGTTACGTTTATTAAGGCAAAGTCACTTTAATAGCTTCCAGGGAAAACTTTAAAAGTACACTTACGGGGAAAAAGGTGTATTTGTTGATACAAGAGATCGAGAACATGGCGATCAACGTGAACTGTGGGCAAAAATAAATTCACTTTCGGCGTAGGCCGTAGGCGGTCTCATCAAGAGTTTCGAAACAAAATTAAATAATATTGTATAATTCCAAATTATAAAAGATGATAAAATATTAGTTTTTTAATAAGTTTCAATTATTTGAAAATCATTTAATTTTTAAGTAAGCGGTGCCATTAAAATGATTTTAAAATAAGCTGTGAATACTTATAGGTGAGAATATTATGCGATAGTGTTGAACGACTGGACAGACAGCATAAATCTGTTATATTACGAGCTCGCAGGCATAATTCCGATCTCTCAGACGTGAAGAATTTGACTTGAAGAGGTTGATTGTGAGTCTCGTGACTGACTCTCGAAAAATGTTTATGAGTGGGATTGTAGCTATAATCCTGACATACCGATTCAATTATTAGTACCGAGGTGCAAAACAAATGCTTGCATTGTAAACTATTTTAAAATCCTTTCAGTAAGCCTGTGATATACGAGAAAAAGACTTGTATTCATTAAATTACTGCATTCTCGTATAATTCTGTTGATTCTGCACTTTCCTTTCCAAAAATGTCTCCTAATTACTCAGTTTACGGGAACAATGACAACCCAGGTTTTCATTTATCGGGGGTTTTCATATAAAATTATTTGTAGAATGCTCCCTCATACTGCCGTGCGAAGGAAAAACGTCGTATAAGCATCCGAGTTGCCAAATTTCTTCTAACAAAATATTTCTTCTTGAGAAAAGTTATGCATGATTATCCTTCGTTTTTCCAGATATTTTAAGATTAAATTGAGAGCAAACTGTCTGAAAAAGAGGAAGAAAAATATTCATAATTTTCCAAGTAAATTCCTTTGTCATTACAGAAAATACGGCAACATCTGCAGGATCATACGGCCTTCTTCCTTAAAACAGCAGCATATTCTGACACCAATAACTCAGTTTTGAGCATTAAGTACACATAGTTGTCATGTAAATGGAGGAGCTGGCGCCACTTTTAAGCATTTTCCAGGTCCCGAATCTCAAGACTCGGTGTGACGCCGGGTCATTTTTTCGATACATAATCGATTGTTTTCGATACACAAGAACCCGGCCAGCTGATGTATACAAAGCAGATAGGAATTACTAAGTATTCTACATCGCCATTTTGGATCGAAAAAGTATCGAAAAAGTGACCGAAGCTCGGCGCACACCGAGCTCGGAACCCGTCGACCAGAACATGGCGCCAGCTCTCCCATTTACATTACCTATTTGAAAAGTGAAAATTCAAAACCTGGTAAGCGCCATTAAGTTTTGCTTCCATTGTTGCATTTAGTTGCTTTCCCCAAATCCCTAGTTTGATGAGTATAATGAGACTGAGCACAACGGTTTTTGCCATAAAAACTAAACCAAAAATTAGAACAAAGTTTTTGGTAAGAAACCTCACTGAAAAAAAATTCTCGGTGTTTTTACCAAGGTCCGTTGGTACCTTTACCATCTCACTTAGTTTACCAATTATTGGTAATTTTGCCAAGACAGACTGGTAAGCTTACCTAAAAACCGGTATTTATACTGTATTTTTCAGGTAAGAATACCACTTTTATTGGTAACCAATCCTCGGTAACCTTGCCATTTTATCTCGGTAATTCTACCACAGTCGATAAAAAATATTGGCGTTTTTACCGCAAGGTCCAGTAAAATTACCGAGAAAGTTCAATCATTTTCCGAGATTTCTCGGTACAATTACCAATTCCGTTAATGATAATTTTACCAAGAAAAAACTGAGATCAAATAGAACCCTGAATTCTTGGTAATTTTACCATTATCTTAGTAAATACACCGAGATTTTTTTTTTCAGTGTATGGAAAATCATTTAAGTTTTTTTACACCAAGAAATGTCATTAACCATCTTTGCAACACCTGATGACGATCATCAGGTTTGTATAATGGTTCTGTTGCATGCAAGAGATATAGCCAAGTAAGTAGGCTCTCGGCGGGTAAAATCGAACAAAAATCACGATGAGCGCATTGAAGAAGTCTGAAATCCACCCTTTAGCGCGCGATCTGCGTATCTTGTGACGCGCTTTTTCTTTACCGCGTCTGCGGGCAGTTATTTCAGTGTCCGGCGACCTAAATTGCTCAGACAAAAGAGTAAGAAAACCTAACCTCAGTAAACGAACAATTTTAAAAAAAATGTCTGGTTTATGATTCCAATTATTATGTGGTGTTTATTATCTCCTCCTTTCTTTGTTTTGCAGAGGCAAATGCTTTGAATTGATTGAAACCTTACATAAGGACTTTTTGGTAGTTCGTGAGATTGTTTATTTATTTAGGGTAGGTTTTTCAGGGCAAACCTGCCTGTCACAAAATGCCTGTATGAAGAGAATACGGACATGTCGAGGTATATATGGCGCTCTTGCTGTATCTAACATGATAATTTATTAAAAAATCGAGCTAAAATCCAAAAATATGAGCCGATTTTTAACTTGTATTTTTTAATCAATTATCATGTTTTATGCAGCTTAGCCAGCTAAATTTGGCGTTAAAATGTATTGCAGTATCTCTTGCATGCATTATAGACCCATTTCCACTCTCCATTGAAATGGCATGATGTTGTAATAGTTAGCTTAATACGATCACATATCAATAGAAACACAAGATTGTGTCAAGGTAATTTTTCCGATTGAGTAACGATCCCACGATGAGGCGACATCTTCGCCTTGCGCCTCGCCGCGCCACCGGTCGGATCATCTCCTTTCAATATCCACCGCAATCACAATACACTCCTTCTTCACCCGTCAAGGCGTGTAATTGGAAGCGGCTGCGTTACTTATTTATGGGCCGAAATGGATAATAGATTAATAAACGCTCCTCCGTTTTGGAAAGCGCAATAAGTTCGGTTTTCAATTAGCTGCCAAAGCCGGGCGGTCGCGGCTCCCCTGCTCACAAAAGGACCTCCATTCACCAAAGTCCTTTCGTTTCCGGCGCGGTTAAAAGCTCCAGATCCAAGCCTTCTAATATTTTAGGGTTCTTGCGTAAGCGTTGGTCTTTCACCACGACTTCCGCTCAGGGTACCAAATTCATCCGGCCAAAATTACATTGAAAAAAAAATCTCGGTATATTTACTAAGAGAAGGGTAAAATTACCAAGAATTCAGGGTTCTATTTGATCCCACTTTTTTCTTGGTAAAATTACCACTTATGGAATTGGTTATTTGACCGAGAAATCTCGGTAAAATCATTGAATTTCTCGGTAATTTTACTGGACCTTGGTAAAAAGGTCAATATTTTTTTATCAACTGTGGTAGAATTGCCGAGATAAAATGGCAAAGTTACCGGGAATTGATTACCAATAAAAGTGGTATTCTTACCTGAAAAAAACGTAAAAATACCGGTTTTTAGGTAAGCTGACCAGTCTGTCTTGGTAAACTTACCAATAATTGGTAAAAAAAGTGAGGTGGTAAAGGTACCAACGGACCTTGATAAAAACGCCGAGAATTTTTTTCAGTGAGGTGGATCCTCGCAGCTTTGACGCGGTTTACTCTGAGAGAGAGAGTATGAATTTGATCGAAATAAATCGATCGAGAGATAAAAATAGGAAACTAGCGACGCCGATTTAATTGAAACTGATTTGTTCGATGAATGATCAAAAAACCCAACGTGGATTCGATCGTCAACCGATCGAAAAACAAAAACGTGAACCAATCGATTCATCTTGATCAACAACTAATTTAAAAGAAAACCATGCAGTGTTGATTCGATCGACATGAATCGATCGAAAATTTAAAACGTACGAACCGATCGATGCCGATTCGATCGACAAATCCGTAAATTGATCGACCAACCCGTGAATCGATCGAAAATTTGTAAAAAGATCGAATTTTTTTGATCGAATCGGTGTCGATCTGTTGTGTTTTTTGAACGCCTCATTTTGACCGATCCGACACTAGTTTTTAATTAGTTGGCGATCGGTTCACGTTTTTACTTTACGATCGAATCGACTGAAAGTTACTGGGCGTTTCGCTGCGATGTCATTCAAAACACGAAGATTCCGACGAAAGTCACTCGTCCTTCGGAAATTAAGCTAAATTAAGATGCGAGATACAACTATATCAACTCCTGAGCCGCTCAAATTGCATCCATCGAGTTGAAGGCGAACTTGATTTCTCATTGCCGTTGGCAATTTTTCAGATATAAGCGCGAGGGTAGCATTGGAAAAAAAAAAAAAAAAAAAAAAACACATTGGATCTAGAGTCCAGACTCTTAAAAACATCGACAAGAAAAAATACTCTTGATTCAATCAGATTTAAGCTTAAATCAAGAACCAAGCTTCTTAATTTGAGCGGATTTCCTTTTGATTTAAGCTGAAATCTGCTTGAATCAAGAGTCCTTTTTCTTGTCAATGTTTTCAAAAGTTTGAACTCTAGATCCAATGTGTTTTTTTTTTTGTTTTTTTTTTCCAGTGAGGGCTACATTCTGGCTTTTGCAACTTATATCTACGTCAAAATCAAAGTATTTTTCTGCGGAGAGAATCCAGTAAATATTACTAGACGTTTCGCAGAGCGATGGTCATTAAAAACACGAAGATTAAAACGACAGTCACTCGGCCTTCGGACATCAAGCTCCACAAAATTTGAAAGTTACTCAGTCGTCCGGGGACTATTGGAACACCCCGGAACTTGGAGGAGCTTTTTCTGGAGCCTACGGCCCCACCGTAATTCATTTTTCTCCGTGTCGAACTTGATTGGCTCTTGCGTACTTGCTCCACGGATATTGGAAAAGTATCTCCCGACGTGATGTAAGTAATTTACTTTCTTCGAAGATGCACACGTGCTTGTGGACTCCCACGAGGAGCCCTTGACTTTGAAATTGTTTGAGTTGACACTACAAACAGAATCGCACCCTCCTGGAGCGGCTGCGACTGCCGACGTCGAAGCGTAACTGAGGGCCGCTTGCGTAACCGTAACGGCGCGCCACACGGTGGATCGAGTCAATCAAAGAGGTCGGACATTAAATTTTTTTACTAAAACTGCAAATTTTGATGTTTATTTCGTCACATCTTAAATTTTAACGGGTGCTCCTGGAAGAAAATTTCACAAGCAAACCAATAAAACCACTTTTAAACCCTCAAAGTTTTGTTTTAACGGAGTTTTAAGCATTCAAAGTTGCCAAATTTTGTCCGACCTCTCCAACTGACTCGTTGCACTGTGCGCCGCCGCGCCGCCGCGGTCCATTAGCCGCCGGTCATAACTTTCGGCGGGAGACCATAGACCACTGGGAAGGAGCACCCGGGTTTCAATAACCGATTACGCTGCTCATTGAAAGTTCTCCGAGCCGGACGCCCGGGTGACCAAGTTCACAACTTCTCACCGGTAACCATAAATCAAGAGGATCCGTTCATCGTAGCGTCGCTGTCAAATCGAAGGGATTATTCCATGCTCCAGGATGGTGGAATTGGAATAGTGCTGGGGCCAACGTGTTCTGCGGTAAAAACAAGGCCAAAATAATTCGACAAATTTTCGTTGGATTCAAAAATTTGAACTTATAATCTCAGTTGTGC